TCACTGGCCATGTCTGTAGTGGAGGACTCTGTCTGTGCAGCTGGGGCAGGAATACAACATCAGCTGGCGAGGCCCAGTTGTCCCTGATGGCAGATACTGGTCTGTGACCCACCTGTACTGGGAAGTGGTCGTGGCAGACGTTTTGTGTACTGTGTGAGTGTGGGAACTGACCTAACATCTGAGTAGTGTTTCTTGAGAGATGTAAATCTTGTAAAGAGGGTGAAGTCTCTGGACCTTTCCAGTGTGCGTTCACAGCTCACTTTCTCTTGTCCAGTACCTTTTAAAATAAATTGTGTATCATTCAGAAGTGTCTGCAGTAGCCTGTAAGAGGCAATTCTGGTGATGCTCCCAGCAGAAGACAAAGGTGGTCTGGACTGGTGGCTGCACCATATTCGTTGAGTTACACGTGGTCAGTATTTAGGGATATCCTCCCAGGATCAGCGCTGCTTCTGGCTGAAGAGCTGTGTTGGCTTGGGTCTGTGTTTGGAGGAGCAGGTCTGTTCTGCTGGGCACGCTCACAAACTTTCTTTGTTTTTCTTTTCTGGGCTACCTCCTCAGGATAACTCACTAAAGGTAAAATGACATGGTTTGACAGGAGCAAAAGCTGTGATCTCTGGTGACTAATCGTGCTGGGATGAGGCCTTTGAGTGTGTGAATAGGGGTTTGTCAGGTTTGACACGTACAAGCATCCTCCTGCTCGTTTCCCTGCCTGCTTTCTCCAGCAGTGATCTGCAGCTCCCAGGTTAAAACAGCAGAGCCGCTCTTCTGCTTTCTGAAAGCGGTTTTGAGTGACAGTGGAGTGTATGGTCTGAACTACCTCCCTGTATGGCCACTGGTGCTCATTTTTGACATAACGTTTCATACTGGTTCAACTGGTTCTCTGGTGAGGAGAGAGGGAGGTTGATTCGGTGGATGGACTGGGACATGTTTGCTGTAGCAGTGCCATGTTTGCTAATGAGCCCCTGGGCACGGCTACAGAAATGCCCATATGGTTTCTGTCTAAGCCATAAGCCACTCTTGTGGATCCGTGTTATGACATGAATAATTTTGAAGACTTTTGTGACTCCGTGGACGTCATCTACTCCTTCCTACCCGCAGCACCCAGGCCCCACTGACTCACGCTGCCATTTGTTGGGTGAATCTCAATGCTCTGGCTGCCTTTGGAAAACATGGGGGAGGATTTGTAAAGATTGCCAAGATTAATGTAGCCGTTCTTTGCAGAGGGCATTAGTAAAACGACATTTTTCCTTTTAAAAAGATTTGTTTATCCCCTTCTGCAGGATCTGTTATAAACCCTTAAAAGTCTGCTGTAGGGTTGGGTTTTTTTTTCTCCTGAAAGTAAATTAATTGGAGGGTTCTAGGTGTTTGAAGAGAATGAGATTAGCAGTTGGTAACTGGTATTTTGGTCAACTGGTGGCATGTTCCTCCCTGAAACCCTTTCAAGATCTCCCCTTGTCATTTGGAACTGTGGGCACTAACAAAATGCAGTTCTTGTGGTCGATGTAATTTTGTTTACTGCCTTGATTTCAGAACCTTAAAACTGCTGTGTGTCATACACAGATGAATAGCTGCCATTTCCGCTTTCGGAAGACAAGCGCTGAAAAATGAAGGATTTCAGACAAGATGTTGGTTTTCAAGCGTGTGCGTGCGCTCCCAAGGCTCAACTTGTGGCTCAAACTGTTTTGTTCCTTCCACTGACTCAATGGCATCTGTTTCTGAGGTCTGTCAATTCAGGGGGAGAACAACAGACTGGAAACTAAAGTTTGCCTTCCCTGGGTAGTTACTTGAAGAGCTGCTGAGGATGCTTATGGCAGGGGGGAACGATCCCTGCTCCCTGAGAGCCTTTCTGGGGGCTGCTGCTGACCCTATTGATAGGCAACTCTGGTTGCTGTATCTGGTCAGACCAAGTCAAAACTTGATCGAAGGTTTCCAGGTAGCTTTTGAAGGACAATGATGAATCTGTTAGATAATTCCCCCACATCTGAGATACAGTTGACCACCTCAAATACAGAAGTCCTGTTGCCCAGAGGCTATGATTTGACCCTTTTTGGGGAGGATCTGCTAATTCAGTGGTGCCATTGGTGCAGGAAGATGGAAACTTGTGGAGAAATGTAGAAACGTTAATTTTGTGATGCCATTACATGAGCTAAAGGGTAACTCTTCTAGTGTCCTTTCTACCGTGCCCAGGTGACCCCAGAGGAAATCAGAAAAGCCCACTGTGTGTTGATCGAGTGAAAGGTTTGTTCTTCACTAAGTTGTTTAAAACTCTTATAATAGTCTCCTATTCTTTTCATGATTTAGCTGCTGTACTTCTGGTCTTGGTTAACTGCTGCCAATTGTAGTTTTTACACTCATTATCTTGATCATTAACACATTGTTATCTGAGAAAGAGGATTCATTTCTTTGTTATGCCTATTGTATGTATCCCTATTATATTGGGCAAACTGGCCCAGGCTTTGACATTTAGCGTTGTCCCTACCACTGCTGATGAGACTGAGGCATTATTCAGTATTTTCTTTTTACAGCCTACAGAATAGGCTGTCCCAGATGGGTTACAGGATCACAACTCCAAGGATCTGTTGAGATGGATGTGCTTTGCTTTCTGCGTTGTTGGAAGGACACTGGTGGGTGAGGAGAAAGGAAAACAACAGAGCCATCTTGTAGGATAGTCTCCTGCTGGGAAAAGTTATTTGTATACTGCCTGGTTTTGTCAAATGTCTGGAGGAGATTGAACCTTCTATGCAAGTAGCTTTTTATGCAAGTGAGCACTTTGTCTTAATTGGGTTCCTGAGGAATGGCTGCGGTGTTGGGAAGATGACAAAATGCCAGGCTGTTCTTAGGGGCCTCGGTGACAGCTGTTGAGTGTGCAATATTTTTAAAAGCTGAGGCTTCACGTAGTTTATAGCTGGACTTACTGGGAGCCACCTGCCTCAAACTGTTGGCTGCAGGGTCTTACCAGCGAACCAGCTGGCTTTCAGAAATGCCCTGCTGAGTGGGAGCGTTGCAGCATTGCTTTGGTTAATTCAAGATCCTCTTGGCTTCTCTTTAACACCCAGAATGCCCCTTCTTGTTAGTAGGATTATAGCCACTCATTTTGGAGTAGAAAAATAGTAAAACAAGGGCAGAAAGGCATTGTGTGCTAAGACTTTCTTTTAATGCAAGGCAGCAGATGTGATAAATAGCAGAGAAAGAATCCTCATCTGCCAGTTCTGCTGTAGAAGAAATCATGCTTTACATTCTAGAAATAATAGGTATTTTAAGTATTTTTAGATGTTAAGCTGTTCATCTCATCAGTACAGTTGAATGTGAGTGGCTTTTTTCTCTCTAAGCAGTTGAAAACCAAGAAGAATCTGTGAATGGCTTACGATTCCCTTAGGGATTTGGAGCATTGTCCTTCTGAAACATAACACTAGCTGTTAGAAATCTTTAATTGCCGAGTAATCCTGAAAGGAAACACACCAGGATCGGGATTACATTTGTCAGGCTTTTGTTCTTTATCAGCATTAATGCTGTCATGCGCCTCCATCTTTCACCAGGGCTGGATGCCATCGTACCCTCACGACCGTGCTGATGCTGGGCAAGTCCTGCTCTGTCGAGGATGGTTGACTTTGTCATTTTTAAGTGGTTTTTTTTGCCTATTACTTGCAGGTATTTTCTTCAGACCATGACTACTTCATTTGCTAAAGCTTTAAGCTGCTCAAACCATCTTTTGGGTTAACTCAGGTTAGCGGCGCCTCAGGCACGCTCTGTGCGCAGCCCGTATCTGTGGAAATTGGAGGCGGATGAGGTCCAAGAACTGTGCTGGGAGTTGTGCTTCTGAAAGGAGGTGTTTGCTTTCCATCCCTTCCACCGTCTGTCTTGGTAATACACTACTAAAAATTATTACTTGCCTAGCAGCATCTTAGGTGTGAAATTTTATTTAAAAAAAAAACCCCAACCAACTAAAACCAACAAAACAAAAACCCCAAACAAACCAAACCCGACCAAACCAAACCCAAAGCACCCAACAGCAAACGCTGCACCATTTACCAGCAGCGAAGCGA